TTAGGCGACCCCTGTGAAAGGGCTGTTCGACCCCCAAAGGGGTCGTGACCCACAGGTTGAGAACCGCTACTCTCAGATCATAAATCTGATTAAAACAAAAAATGTTACATTGTGAAGGTGAAGGCCAACAGAGCTTTCCTGCCAACAATTCAGACACCCCTCCTCATCCCACTTCCTCCCTGGCGTTCCTGTTTCCTTTCCCCTTCCTCTCCTAACCCCTCTGCACTGTCCTTGGGCCAGCGCTGCCCTCTGACCTCTAAGAAGTGTGTACTTCCCAGTCTTACTGTTCTTCTATCACACACAAAACGCAACACACATTGAATCCATGTCAACTCACAGTGACCCTATAGGACAGAGTGGAACTGCCCCTGTGGGTTTCTGAGACGGTTAACTCTCTATAGGAGGAAGACGAGGCGGTCTGCTCCTATAAAGATGGGTGGTCTCCGACACCCTAAACAAACAAACAAACAAACTCACTGCATTGAGTCCATTTTGATTCAGGGTGACCCTATAAGACAGGGCAGAACTGCCTCTGTGGGTTTCCGAGATGAGCTCCTTACAGGAGTAGAGAGTCGTGTCTCTCTCCAGGAGCAGCTGGTGGTTTTGAACTGTGGACCTTGCTGATCCCCAGTCAACTGCTAACCACTACACCACCAGAGCGCCCACAGACCTATTGTTTGACTGGAAGGTGAGCTGGGACGAAGGACCATAGTCTTGGGGGTTCCACCAGTCTCCACCTGACCCGTAAGCCTGCTCTTTTTCATAATTTTGAATTTTGTTCCACCTTTTCCCATATCCAGGACCTTCTTAAAGGAGCCCCTGTGAAGCAGCTGGCAGTCGTAGCTGGGCACCATCTGGTTCTTCTGGTCTCAGGGCCAGGGAGCCTGAGGCTCATGTGGTTTGTTAGTCCCTCAGATCATTGTATAACTGACCTTTTGTTTATTGCCTGTCTCCCTCCATTGGGAGCATTGACTATTGGGGTTTTGTCTGTTCCCCTGTTGATCACTGCCCGATCAGTGCCTGCATGAAATGAGACTCAATCATTGTTTAGTTAGAGTGAATGAATATTACATTAAAAAAAAAAGGAGGTGGGGCAGAGTGGTCACAGTAGGACAGTATGTGTGAAGAGTTGCTAGCCATGAGTAAATTCATGGGCACCTCATGGCCAACGTAACCAAATCCTCTCTGGTCCTGCACTGTCCTCAGGATGGCCAGCATGTTCAAGTCCATCATTTTGATCTCATGCCCATCTCTCTCACTGAGAGTCTCTCTGGCCCTCACTGGCCCTCGACTTCACCGAACATGATAACCTCCTACAGCAAT